ATATATATATATGAGAGAGAGACATCATTAAGTTTATCTTAGCTAGTGAAAAATTAGTGCAATAAATTAGTTGTTATTCAACTTTATATAAAAATCCATTTTAAAACCATTAAGAAAGTAATCTTGCAATTTTTTCCTAAGTAGTTATGGTTAAACATAAGAGACTGTTCACCAATTTTTTTATTCTAACATGTAAATCCTATCAAAGCTTTGTATCCTTGTCTCTATCACTCTGTCTTACAGCACCGAGAGTCTAAAATGTATCCAATTAACACTACCTATGTGAAACTATTTTAATGTAATAATGAATCCATGACTGGAGAAATAATGTCTCCAACATGCTACTGCCACAGCAACATGTATAGTGGGTTCTGGAAAATTACACAAGATTCTCTAGTAAATTCAATGGCATGACTCTATACCTTGAGAGGAGAAGATGGAATGGAGGGACCATAGTTCAGGCCGTCACTAGAGGCACTGCCATGAAGAGAGAAAATGGAGGCTCGAGTGGAGTAGATGCTGTCATTATCAGGAGAATACTGAGACTCAAATGTAGATTCATCTGCTAAGTCATCATTTGTGTCCACCTAGAAGTAATAAATAAAATTTTAATAATTTTACCAGTATCACTGTGTCCACTTAGGAATAAAAAAGTAACATTAGATGGGAATTTTGTTCTACTACATATATAACAAAATCTGTAGTTTTAAAATAAAGAATATTTTCTACATGACCTTTTTAAAACATTAAAAACTGATGTGCAACAAGACAAGTATGAACTTCCCAACTGTAGCAGAGAGACTACTATAGAAAGTTATGTTATTCCATCAATAAGGGTAACAATTAACAAAGGATCTGGAGCAACTCTAAATATTAATCAGTTCCGTAAATTAAGAGCAATATTTAAATTTATCCAGTTTAAATTATTTTTTTTCACAACAGGTACCCAACTCCTAAAATTCTGTAGTAAAATAATTCATCATGTTTCTTATTCACAAAAATAAACTTATTCAATAAAGGAAGTTAGTTATTTTTAACATATATTAAATAATACATCATGCCTAATTTGTTTTTAATAAATTTAAAACCATTGAAGTTATAGAGGTCCAGATTTTAAGGATGAATATTAGAGACTAAAGAGAAAATATTTGGTATCCATGCTGAAACTATCAAACAATGGGCCTAAATATGATATGGTCGGATAAAGCTGTAAGCTCTAAATTGGTACTGCAGAGTGAACTAGAGAATTTAATCATATTATGTATAAATCCCATAACCATCTTCTGTGACAGTCATAAAAAAAAATTGTCATGATGAGACTGAATCTCCTCATAAAATTCAATCACAACGTAGAATGTAGAACTAAACTACTTTTTGTTTTTGCTATTACAAATATTTCCTGCCTTGATGACAAAATGTGCTCTATTTCTTTGTGATGCCAACATACATACATGTTTACTAAAAGTTAGAAGCATTATAATATTATGCAAGGTAATGCTCTTGCAAAAATTTGGTCATAATATAGGTTGGCCATATTATAATGACCCCCTAACAATGAAGTTTAAATACTGTTCAAACTCACTATTGAGTCACTATGTAGAGATTTACATTTTATAATATGTACTATAATCTAAATAGTATATATTTAATAGTTGGTAAATATTTAAGTAACATCTGAAAGTATTATCTCAAAACAATTTATATAATCATCAATTTATTTAATTATTGTAGAGTCCAGATAAACAAAATGTCCTTTACAAGATTATGTAGCTCATTAAGGAGAAAACCCAAAACACCTGCTACTTTTATAAGATACTAAGCTCATAAAAATAAGTGAAGTTAATTTTGTTTCTCTTTGGCATTCATTTAAGGATATTCAAGGAGCTCATGTATATTCTAGAACAAAAATTATTTGGGAAACATTTCTAGATACCATATTTGTATCCTGCAACATACCAAAAAAATTATAAACTAGTCTTAAAGTGTTAAACTAATGCCATGGAAAAGAGAACTAAACTTTTACTTCGTATGCTAAACACTATAATATGAAATAATTATATTTATTGAAATATATGCGATACTTTCCAAAGTTTTATTCTAAAAGCTGATAATTTAAAAACATTAACAGGAAGAACTTTCTCCCTAAAAATGAGGATTATAAAAATCAAAGAAATAATTCATACTGTAGCTTTGAAAAAGATATGTACAATTGATTATAACAACATAATGGAGAACTTTATAGGTTTTAAAACTCTAGTTCACAACCACTCAAACAAGTACTTCAAAATTGGGCACAATGCTTCCACCCAATACCACTGTAACAGTGATGTCTATAAATACATATTTATAAAGAAAGGATTTTGACATATTCTTGAGACTTTCATGTTCTCAATAACCAAACCGATTTATGATTTTCACATTTAATAGCAAAAGGAAAAATATACCTGTTGTCTCATTAAAATGAAAACACTGAAATATAACTGAGTAATAAACAGTTAAGTAATACCCAGAGATCCCAAAGTAGGAAATTATAGCAATTAAAGCTCCAACAATTTCTCATATAATGTAGATTAATGTTTTATGTTGGCATAATAAACTAACTAAATTTTTCCCCCAAATCCAATAATTTAACATATATCACATATTGTATTCCTACTGTCAACTTTGAAAATACTGACATTAAAAATAAAATGCTGACCTTTCCAAAACATAATGAACAAAGAATATAGTAAGACCATAGAACATTCTGAAAGACAAAACTAAGACACGTAAGATTTATGAAAGAAAGCTTGTTAAGTTGTGGCCACTAACCAGAGCCAAGTCAGCCCTGAAGAAGGCTTTGTCAGCCAGTCTCTCCTCGCAGGAGTGTGGCAGGTAGAGAAAGGACTCCTCTTTAGCAGAAACATAACCTTCTTCTGGTGAAAGCTGCAGGGAGAATGAAGCTCAGTGTTTTGAGGATCATGTAATGAAAAAGTGAAGAGGAAAAAGAAGAAAAGGAAAGGGAGGGAAGAGGGAAAGAAAAATAAAAAAGATGGAAAAAAAAGGAAAGTTCAATGAGAACATGATTTAACAAAGAATGATGAGCATGGAAATGGTATTCATATTCAACATACTTATTTTTTAAGACACAATGCGAATATTTTTCTAATACTGTTATTATCTGGTAAGTGAGAATCTTTATCTACTTTTGTTTTACCAAATATTTCTGCCTGATCACAACCCTTTGCTTAAAATAACTATTTTTTTACTTTTATGAGGCTTAATTAATCTTCAGCAGGTTTTAACAGCCTTGTGTACATGTGCATTATTTATTTTTTTCCATTTTAGAATATATAAGTGTACTGGCATTTTATTTATGTCTTGCTTCTTTGGAAAACCCAGCATTAATATCTTGAATTTTATCCTCAGTTACACAATTTTCATTGTGACTATTCATGCTTTATTTATGATGATATTCTCCATAGACATTTGCATTGTTTTCAATTTATGTGAAATTTCTAGATCTTTAAAAGCACAGCACAAGTCAAACATTTTGTATGCTGAAGTTGGCCATTTTCAAATCTATTTGAAGTATAATAGCACAAAGATTAAATATCATTCCGTCTAGAGCTATTATATGAGTATACTCAGAAGAAAGCATTTCATGATTTGTCTAATGTTTGTAGTGAATATGACATTATAAACTTTGCTTATTGCAAGGGCATTGGGTCTTTTCCCTTGGCATTAAAATATGTCTTCTCAGTGAATATTATATAGATAAAAGCATGTGAAATTATGAGTTAAATTAAGCTGACCTGATTTGTGATTTTTCTCTGTACTTTATTCCTTTGCATTGATATTTGTGTTGTTGTATGTTAAGCTGTAGCCAGAATGCTTGACCTTCTGATATACTTTATTTTCAACTATCCTTAGCTTGTATTGTTAAGTTTATGTAGGCAGAGGTCAACCCAAAATATTCTAGATTAGTATGTTGGGAGTTTTAGTTTTCTTATTTAAATGTATGATTGCTTTTGTAACTGAGTTTGTATTCTAAGTATCCTTAAAAGAAATCATAGAGCACACTAACTAACACAGCAATCCTCATTGTTAAGCGGTTCCTTTTTTAAGTTTTTCTATAGTTTTTCAATAGAGCTGAAAATTATTCCAGAAATGAAAGCAGCCACGGGGAAAGTTTGGGTATTATACCGTTTTAAAACTCTGTAAAAATACCCCAGATTAAACAGATGTCTCCTAGCCCTTCTTACTTAAAATACTGAAAGCCAAGTAGAAAATATTTCACATGTCCTATTAAATGCCTGAATCCATTTCTGCTGAAATATGTTTTTGTCTTTAAAATGATATAATGCAAAATAATAAAATAATAAATTATAGAAGTTACTTGAAAAATATATACTGCATTTTTGACTTGTGAATCTGATACCTGCTTGCAATTTCTGTTGCTTTTCTAGAACTCCAAGGTTGGGGCAGGCAGATATGAATTTCTACTCTTTCTCTTGTATTAGGGTATAACGGACATAAAAATTTATTAGTTTCAAATATACAGCATAATAATTCAATATTTGCATGTACTGTGACATAGCTCAACAATAAATCTAGATAACATAATGTTTTTACAGGAGATTATCAAAACTATATCTTCTATTAGTGATATAGTCATTTTTATCCACCAACTATCTTACTAAAAATCATGGAACTTTTCTGTTAAGTTGTAAAATAAGAGTAGAAAAACAATTTTAAAATAATCATGTATCTTTGTTATGCCTTACTAAATATTTAAAAATGTAATTTAGATGATAAAAAATGTTAGTGAACCATACAATGAAGTCTCTTAGCTTAACATGATTGAAAAAAAAAAAGAAACTACTTGTACACAATCTAATTAAATTGTGATCTGAAGCTACTTATTTATTATTTTATAACCTGAATCACACTCAGAAAATCTAACACTTTGTTTTCAGCTCTGATAAAATGGACTAAAATAGGTATTTGTTTTAACTATATCACCCAGTATCAGCAATATATACAAGAGCTATATTTGGGGAAAACTTTATTTTTCCCACACATGAGTTTAATAGTAAACATTACTTTTTTTGTAAAAGTTATTTTTCATATACTGCAGTGCATATTGATTTGATGTATCAAATAGTCTCATAAAAGACATTTATTTTGGGCCCTCTCTGGTGGCCCAGCGGGTTGGAGCACAGCACTGAGAAGCCAAAGCCACTTCCGCATGAGTTCGATCCCTGCCTGCCCCGGAGGTGATACACATGGCACAGCAGACCTCCCCTGACCCGCCCGCTGCTCCCCTCAGCAGTGTACTTCGTCCATCTGCCTGTTCTGCCCCCCACTCTGTCTCTGGTGAAGCTTCTCGCCACCCCTGCACCTCTGACCTGTACCCCAGTTCTGTATGCATAAATAAAAAAATCTTTAAAAAAAAAAAGGCATTTATTTTGAAACTAGTTTACAATTTTTCTTTTTACTATCTGGGTATGGTTTATCCTTAATAGCAGTTAAAAAAAAAAAAAGTTGTATTTTCTCTTCTTGGCTTATCAGAGATCTTAGCCAAATATATTGTCAATCTTGATAAATGCATTGTCTATAGTGCTCTATCTTCATCCCTTCCATATTCCCTTTCTTATTGATCTTTTCCCTGATTTCTATAATTCTGGTTTGATTTCAGGTTAAATTAACATATTCTTTTATCTCTGTTTCTTTTTTCATAAGAAAGGTCATTAAAATTTTATAAGATCATTATTTTTTTAAGAATTAAAATTAATGAAATATTTTTATTTTTTTAATTCTTAAAAAAATGACATTATAATTTTGGGAGTACAACTTTATCCCACCATATGTCCAGCGCTTCACTACCCTCTCCCAAAACTCCAGTGTTGATGTGATGTCCTCTTGCTCCCCGAGCCTCACTCTTTCCCCTCTCTCAAGCACCATTTTATTTTTCAAAGAATCTAGAAATGATTGTTGCTGTGCTTTCATCAATTTGTTTTTCTCATTATTTAAATCTGACAAATGATTTTCATGTTAGTAAAATTCTTTATAGAATAAAAAATGGAGCATGAATAAATAATTAAAAAGTTAACAAATCGTACTTACTATTTTAACAAATTCCTTCTCAAAACTTAACACCTCTGCTTAATATTTCTGCAAATATAGCTATGTGTTTTCTTAAGAGTAATATATTTGAAAATATACTTACATATGTAAAAAACCCATAGGCACTGAGAATGTCTCTAATAGTCTTTTTATTTCAGTGATAATTCATATGCTGCAATAACCATACTCAATACAAATACTACTGTTATGTAGATTTGTTAGTTGTTGTTAATATTATAATAATTAAAGTTATATACACTATTCCCTCCAAGAGGACAGTTACAAGTTAAAAAAAAAAACCTTCTATAAGTTCAATTTTTCGTTCTGTGCTAGACAACAAATGTATTAAAGGCAATCTAATATAAAAACTTAAAACCACTCTAACAGAGAGTCTAAATTTTGCCACTATAATAAAGAATTCACTGATAGTTGTTAAGCACAACTAATTTCTCAAATTCCTTACAACATTGGTGTTGTTGTTTCTTGAGAAATAAATTGATTCTGTATTCCTAATAACTTATTAGATAGAAGGTCAAATGTGAACCACATAGCAGCAAATTATAATTTATAAAAACCTATTTTTCTTTTAATCCTTAAAAATGTTATTTGAAACTAAAATAATTAAAGCTAAAAGCAATTCTTTTTTTTTTTTTCCCCCAAATATAAAAAAAGAAGTCAGTCAGAATTCTTACAGGTAAAGGCTTGGCAACTCCTATTCTCACAACCCCTGGTGGTGCACCCTTCAGCGCCTGGACAGCTTCTTCAAGACTGCTATTTTCCAAGTTAGTATCATTGACAAACATAAGTCGATCTCCAGGAAGAAGTCGTCCATCCTTTTCAGCAATGCCACTGGGCACCAGAGAACGAATTACAATCACGGTGCTTGCTGGATCAACTGGATCCTGACAGAATGGAAAGGAATAAAGAAGTTAGCTTCTGCTTGCACAGGTTGTTCACTCTAAAGTGTAGTAGATGGGTAAGTATTTCCAGCATCTCTAAAAATTCATATAAAATCTCTAATGAATTAAGGGAGTACTGGTTATATGGGTAAAAAAAAGTTCTTAGTAGGTTTAGGAAGAGTTCACCTTAAACAATGGAAATCTTACTTTCCACTATTCCTAGGTAAATCTCTGAAACTGAACACAAAATTTTGAAATTATAATTTGAATTATTTGTAAATTATCAGGTTTTGTAACTATCATATATAGTTACAAGTCAGCTTGATTAACTACTAACTCTAAAGTATCACTTACTTTAGTGAGTAAGTTGGAGGTAGGATTTGTCTTTTTGAGTAAAGAAATTGAGAAACATGCAATATAATGTTTGGTATGCAGTGTTTTTCAGTTACACGAGAACCTTAATATTAGAATAAGGCAGCATAATTAGTCCCTCTGAGGTACACAACTCTCTCCAGTCATCAGAGATAGTTTTCTAGTTCAGTATTAATTCATGAGGCACAACAGCTGCACACTCTAGCATTTCCTCAGTCACTCAGCGGAGAAGACAATGCAGGATAAGGAGGCAGGACACACTTGACCAATTTGAGCTTATTCATAATTTAGTCAAATGACAGGAATGCTAGAATTTATTATATATCTGGTTACAAATCTATCGTTCACTTCAAACAAAATAAATATGTACTACCTTTTGTCTTACCATTAAAATAGGAAACATCAATTAAGAACAAAGAAATGAAAATAATTTAGACATACTCCCAATATGATACAAAAGCAATGTATTCCTATGATATACATAAAATATATTCCTTACATTTGTCAAATGCTAGAGCTCAAAAATAAGAAAATGAATTTAAATAATTCAAAATCAATTAAATTAATTGAGCTAAGTATTAAATTATTTAAATTTTATTAACTGATCAAAATCAACTTTAAACTACTTTATTATAGTTAATGTAGAATCATGCATATTACTATTTTGAAAGATTTACTAGAAAGAAGAAAGAAGTCTTTGATGATGCTAAAATTCCTTCTGCTTTTTCTCTGCTATCGATAATATACCTTTAAGACAGGTCAACCTTTAAAAACACTGTTAAAGTAGTACAGATTTACCTGATAATCTAAAATGCTAAACCCAAGTCCTTTGCTCCCTTTTTCCAACTCAATGTGCTGAATATCAGCCTCCCACATGGCCAAAGGTCCTTGTACTTCTTCCACATCAGGCACTGCCAGCACAGGATCCTCTGTCTCTGAGGATCCAATGAACTCACCTAGATCTACATGAGGCTAGAAAACAGACCAGACAGCTCTTATTTCAGAGGCTTAAGGTTAGCAGATACACATACAAATACTACACACAAAAGGGAGATTGCCAGCATTCAGAACAAATCCTCTCATGTAAAATTAACAGTAGCTTATCTTGAAATCTTGAGAGATTAAAGTACCAATTACTGAATGCTGCTAGCCAAAAGAAAAACCTATCTTGAAAAAAGCATGTTTGTAAAAATGTACAGTTTAAAGACCTCCTATAAAAATGTCATAATTACAGCTGAGCAGCACAACCATGGGAGTTGTCATTTTTTTAATCAGCAATAGTGATTGTCTGAATCACCATTGAAGACAGGGCAAAAATGTGAAGCTATTTAACACAGTAAAATAATGATGATGATGATAATAGTAATAATAATTCCTATGATAAGTAAGAATTATTCAAAAAGTAAATGGTCATATGGAAAAATTCCATATTCTATGCAAACAAGGGGCTAAAATGCTCTGGACTTGTACACAATTTCATTAATAAATTAACAAACATGGGCAATATTTGAAGCCTACCTCTATGATTTCTTATGTGTGTTGCCTGAAGCAAAGCAGTATTCTTTAACTCAGATTCAGTTACACATCTCATATAATTTTTGAAGATTAAATGAGATGCATTTATATAGGCTCTAGCAGTAAAATGGAGGTTCAAAATGATTTTTCTTTCAGCAAAAATAAAGTAAATATTTTACTTTATAAAATAACTAAAATAAAATACTTAACTTTAGGTTAACTCATCTTTGTTCATCTGTGCCCACATAGCACATTTTTTTTTTGGAAGGACATGCTGTTGATACAATTCTATTCTCTATATTACTTGTTTTTAATTACTGAAAAATGTAAGACTACTGATACATATCTCTCCACCTTTTTTATTATAAAATGCCACTAAAATTGTATAAAATAGTATGAATATGCTGGTGCTAGATTTTGAGTTCTACACAATCATCCAAGTGAGTATCAAGCTATATATTTTAGCCCTCAAAGTTTTCTAAATTCACGATATGGATTCCTTTATCCTAATGCCATCCTCATTCCTTAAATGAGATGTGACTAATTATGCAAGGACTAAATCTTAACTTTAGATATTTATTCTAAGTACTGAGAAAAATTCACAAACTCTATTTCTTAACATTTTGATGTAAACAGACAAGAATAAGGAAACAGGAAAATGGATATCTAAGTTTCTATATATAACCATATAGTATCTGACATGCAGCATTAAATGTCAAATTGTTGACATTTTCAAAACGTGACTAGTATGCAAATAAGTAAGACATATATATATATATATATATATATATATATACACACACAGAATAATGTGTGTATTTGTATTATACACATTCACGGAATAGTTAAGCTGGGCAAATTATACAAAAGTATCTCTTACCACCTATGTAACATATATTCAGCATTTACATACTAATCTCTTCTATAAAGTATAGTTATTTACTACCATTATGTATCTTAACTTACAGAGTAATTCTCTAAAGCAATATGGCTGACATTTTAGAATAGAAAACTGAAATTCCATAATATAAGGTAACTTGCCCAATGTCACAGAACTGTAGTTCCAGCCTAATTCAAACCCAATTATGTCTAATACAAAGGTCTATTTTACAAGTCATTGGCTATGTGAATAAACCAAATGCCAAATAAAGAAGAGAAGTACTACAAAATAGATAATAAACACTATTATTTCTACTCACTATAGTTTCATATTTGCAAATGATACCTTTTCAGTTAATTCAATATCACATAAGTCCAGGCTATCTAATTCTGATTGGGAGGAGGGGGGCACAGTTCGGCGGCAACACACCACTGTCACTTCTATTGGCAATTCTTTTAAAATATTCACCACATCTTGGTGATTTTCCCCAAGCAAAGTTATGCCATTCACCTATAGAAAAAGATAAGACATACAAACATAAACAACAATTCAGCACAGGAATGCTACTTTGAAATTCTTTTTTAATTTGATAAATATAAATGATAATTACCACAACTCTGTCTTAGAAAATAAAGAATAAACCTGCAGCAATACAATCTCAAATAATTAATGAACAAAATCAGAATTTTGTTGAAATTTGATTTTCTATCATACTCAGAGGAAAATCGCTAACTTTCACCCATGTTTTTTTCTGCCAGTATAGTAATTTGGGAAAAGAGAGTTAATGAAAATATTCCCAAATTATTTTTTTAAGATTTGTTTATGCATAGAGAACTCGGTATAGGCCAGAGGTACAGGGTGGTAAGAGGATTCACCAGAGACAGAGTGGGGAGCAGAGCAGGCATATTAACAAAGTACACTAATGACGGGAGCAGCAGGCAAGACAGAAGTGTGCCATGCCATGTGGGTCACCTCTGGGGCCAGGGATCGAACTCACACTGAAGCGGCTTGCAGCGCTGTATCCTAACCCATTGCACCACCATGGAGGGCCCCCAAATGATAAAGAGAAAAGAGAATGTTATTTTAAAAAAAAACTGACATTTTATTAAGTTAAAAATATAAAATAGTAAATACTGTTGGTAACAGGTTTTAGAAAGTGTGTATGGGGGAAAACACTCAAATTTTGTTATTTAATCATTAAAAATATCTAGAATACCCAGACAAATACAAAAATGAGAACTGCTTGAAATAGAACAAGAAAGGGCCCTTTCAATGTATATTTTTTATATTCTTTGTGATCTAAAACATGTGAATGTGTTAACTACTTTAAAATGTAATAAATGATGAAAAAGTTTTATAGTGCTCCAGAAATGAAAAAAATAAAACACAACAAAAAATTTGGATGTTAGCTCCAATATGGTAGAACAGAATTTTGGATCACCCTCTTCCTTAAAATAACTGTAGGCCCTCCCTGGTGGCGCAGCGGGTTAAAGCACAGCACTGAGAATCTGAGGCCGCTTCCACATGAGTTCGATTCCCGCCTGCCCTGGAGGTGACCACATGGCGTGGCAGACCTCTCCTGACCCGCCCGCTGCTCCCCTCAGCAGTGTACTTCGTCGATCTGCCTGTTCTGCTCCCCACTCTGTCTCTGGTGAAGGCTCTCACCGTCCCTGCACCTCTGGCCTGTACCCCAGTTCTGTATGCACAAATAAATAAATTTAAAAAAAATAAAATAAAAAAAATAAAAATAAAACAACTGTAAAAAAAAATAATAATAAATAATATCTGCTCAGGGCCCTCCCTGTTGGCACAGTGGGTTAAAACACAACACTAAGAAGCTAAAACCACTTCAGCATGAGTTCATTCAATCCCGAACAAAAGTGGAGAAGACAAAGACAAAGACATTCAAGTGGAGAAGACAAAGACATTCAAGTTTACTCCTCAGACTGAGATTCAGTATTAAAGCTCCAAACTGCCCTCCAACTGCGCCTTACGCAAAATAGGAGGAAAAACAAATAAAAGCCCATCACCCCAAATACACATACACACACACCAAATAAGGTAATACACCTATCTAGAAGCAAGGAATTCTGAACACATCATGGAAGAGCAAAATGAAGACATAAATCCTGGAACAACAACAAAAAAGGATACTCAAACAGAGGAACTATCAGGCAAAGACTTCAAAACAACAATATTAAAAATGTCAGATGTATTACTGGAAGGTCAGTCAAAGGCAGAGAGAAAAAAAGAGTGTCAGAAAGAAAGAGAGCTCTCAGATTGAAAAGCAGACAATTTATAAAATACTTTGAATATAAATGAACTGGCAAAAGAAATAATTTCTGATGTCTAAAACTAAATGAACAAATCACCTGTTGAAAAGAAGAGAATCAAGATTGAGGAAACGATGAGAAATTTCGATTAGAATTTGAAATTAGAAGTGGAAAATTAAGAGTAATTGCGACCTCAGAAGGAGAAGGAAATGAGAACAGACACTCTTCAGTAATAGTAACTGCGACTTTCCCAAATCTAAAGAATGAAATAATATGGATGTTCAAGAAGTAGAAAGAATTTTCAAATTATCGAATTTAAAAGGGCTTACACTTAGATATACCATTGTCAAATCACCAAAAATAAAAGATTAAAAAAAAAATTTGCAGGAAGCAAGGAAAAATATATAACTAACAAAAGTTCCCAAATTAGGATTTCCTTGGGTTTCAACCCACACACTCTCCATGCAAGATGAAAATAAAATAGAAGAAAATGTTCACAGTCCTATAAAAAAGAACTGTAAGCTAAGAATTTTCTATTTCACAAAATTACCATTCACACAGGAAGCTATAATAAAGCAGAAGCTAATGGAGTTTACCATTACCAGAGCAGTCGTTCAAGAAATGCTGAAAGGGATCTTTTTACTAGAAAAATAACACATAAATTCCTGAGCAAAATGACAGTAGCAATTCAAAACCAGAAGCGTGAGCAAGGATATTATGAGTCAACAACATAACACCAAGTGGGAGGAAGAAGTGACTAGAACTGGTATAATTAAATGTCAAAGTACAGACATCATAAAAGACTTAAGATACAGAAATTAAAGTAAAATCTTCACGTAACCACACTCAAAAATGAAGAATAGAGATCTATCGATGAATAAACAAACAAACAAAATTGTAGAAATACTAAGGCAAGACAGAAAGAACAAAGAAACAAAGGGGAAAAGAAACAAAAAATCAAAACCAAAATTATGGATAATAAATATCACCTATCAATAATCATCCTAAACGTAAATGGTCTGAATTGAGCAATGAAATTCAGGTTAACATTAGGTGAAAATTTTCAGCCCTCAATACTTTGTTCACTATTTGCTTATTCTCATGTCAAATAATTTAGACTGTCAACTGTAAAAGGTAACCAGGGGGAAAAGTCAACAATTCATCAAGAATATATAGCTGTTACTAGTACTTATGCATCTAGTGTGGGAGCACCTAGTTACATAAAACATTTATTGACACTCTAAAACAACATATTGACAAAATATAGAATTACTATCTGAGAACTCATCACACCACCAACATGAAGGGACAGATCATCAGCAAGAAAATTAACTAAGAAATAAAGGCTATAAATGAAGTGTTAAACAGATGGATATATCACACATGTATGGAGATTTCCATCCCAAAAGAAATGAATATACTTTCTTCTCTATTACACATAGTATGTACTAGGACATAAACAGGCAAAATGCAGGAACTGTTATGGATTTCAACCCACATATTCTTCACAGAAATAGAAATTATACACATGTAATATCTAGAAAAATATTAATGACTTCTTGTTTTTTTCTTAAGGAAAAAAAACAATTATTAAAGTGACATGGAAACACAAAAGTTGTTATACAATCCATCAAAGAAACAATTAAAAAATGGGCAAAGGGTCTAAACAGACATTTTTTAAGAAGATATTCAGATGGCCTATAGACATATGAAAAATAATTTAACATCACTTTAAGAGAAATGAAATTAAAACCACATTGAGATACCACTTCACCCTGTGAGTATGGCCCAAATAAAAAGAATGGAATCAATAAATGTTGGCAAGATTGAGTGCAAAGCAATTTTTTTATCCACTGTTGGTGAGAATGCAGTTAGTACAGCCACTGTGGAAAACATTATGAGATACTTAAGAAAATAAAAATGGAAATTCTGTATGATCCAGCAATACTTCTATTAGGTATTTAAACAAATAATATGAAACACCAGCGTGAAAAGATTTATCTATGCCTATATACATAGCAGTGCTATCCACAATTGCCAAGTCATTGAATCAAACCATGTGCCCTTTAACGGAGATGTGGATAAAGAAACTGGGAAATGTATATTCAATGTTGTATTATACAGCTATGAAAAAGATGAAGTAACGGCATCTGGAACAAAATGGATAAACCTAGAGGAGATTATACTAACCAAAATAAGTCAAAAAGTGAATGACAGAAAAAAATGGTTTCACTCATCTGTGGAATATAAATCCATAGGCAACATGTAGTAGGAATAAATCTTGAACTCAAGAAAAGAATGGTTATCAGAAGGAATGCAAAGAAGAAAGAGGTGGTGGGGAAGGGGTGGGGGGATGGGGTATATAAACAGGTGATTTCATGGAAGGTGAGTGGAAATGTGCACATATGGAAAAAAAATGTATGTCAAAAAGAAATATAAACTATCATAGAAGATGATACTCAATGATGGTGAGGGGGAGGGAGAACCTGCATGGAATTAAATTTACATCAGTTTACATACATATACAAACATTTTGCTTTGTATATACAAAAATTTTGCTACAAATTTTTATTTGTAGCTCTCACTTAAGTACCTTTTGAAGGAAAAAGTGAATATGACAACTTAGTTATTCACTACATTAAGCATCTTGTAGTCTTTCCAGTTTTATTTAAAGGGCTTGGGGATGGCATAGCTCCTTACTTCCAAAAGTTCATCTCCACTGAAAAGCTTCCCACTGTGTCCAACAGGACCTTCTGGTAGAACAGATCGAATAAAATGATGCCCCACTGTTGCTTCCAGACTTATCCCCAACCCACTGTTTTCACTGAATTTGCTCACGTGGGCCACCTGAAAGGAGAAATATCGTAATTCTAGTATTTTTCATTTAGCACTTTTATCGTGTATAAATTTACAAAAACGTCCAACTTCCACAAAAAGCTTCAAAAATCTTATTGTAAAGATGCAAAGTTTGGGAGCTTTACATTTAAAAGGGTACTAATGTCTTGGTTTTATGAACTAACAAACCATATGGGTGCAGTTGGCTACAAGCACCCAAGATACTCTACAGCTCCCATAGATGTTTCTAACAAATGGAGGCTAGGCAAAACAACCACAGATAAATACAAGAGCCTTAAACAACACTAGAGAAGGACCCACACTTAGCGCTTACTACTATGCTAACCCTGAGCAAAGTATACTTATTTCTTTCATTTTCATAAACAGGACAGTTCCCATCCTTATTTCCTAAATTAGGAAAATGAAGTTACTTTACTTTAACCAAGGTCACACAGTTAGAAAAAAAATGTTTTGAATCTAAGGAGTCTGACCTTTCTTCAACCTGAGTTTGAACCCGTTTTTTAAGGTCTTCAAAATAAAAAAACTGTAGGCATTTCTACTTCCCCAGGATTCTTTATGATGGTCATCTTTACCACTGTAATAAACATTCTACTCTCAAATACAGCTACAAGTTTGGAAAGATAAGGTGGTAAGCTAACCTACCACTATTTCATAATTAATCCCCATAATCCTTTGCCACTTTGTCAGCAAAGCAGACTCCTGCTGTACATCTTCTACCTCTTCTATCTCAGCAGACAGCAGTGGATACCCTAAAAAATCATCAACACAATAAAGTTAGTGACAAACTACAAAAATGTCCACATCATATACTTTCTGTACCAGGAACACATTGTAATCAGAATTTGTCTGAAACAGAAGTCATGTTTTTCATCCAAGATGAGTTACTCATTTCTCTATATATTCCAATAATTTAATTTAGCATGTTATCAATTGAAAATTCCAGTATTATTCTAAAAATTCTCTTTTAAATCTTAACTATATTCCTATTAAAATATCTGCTATTATATAACTTTTTAAAAATGAGTTAGGACACTGAGTAACAACAAGATTTGTTCTTTGCTTACAGTAAAAAACCACACAGCCACAAAGCCTTCTATGTTATTTTATCACCTTTATTGTCACTTGGTTCTATAAAGTAAAAAAAAAAAAAAGACTATGCTGTTCCTAAGCAAAACAAACAGAATTAACAACACATGCAACTCATGTATAATGAGGAAATATAAATTAAAAACGTTGGATGTACATTAAACCCCAAATTAGAATGCCACTAATTGGAAGATGGGACCTGAAGAGGAGCTAGAAAATAAAATCACTAAACATTTACATAAATAATATTGGCTTTTACATAATTTCACAATAGAATAGGACCAGTAAACTATACTAAAGAACTACTGGTGCTTCAGTAGTGGGTATGGTGTGGTAACATATTCTGAATGGGTGAGAGTCTACTCCTCTGATTCATACACAAAGTTGGAAAATGCTACCACCATCAAAAAAAAAGCTAAAATAAAAACTGGTTAACAAATTTTCTATTCAGTTAAGTGTTGATTTATTTATTTTCATTGATGTAACACTGGCTTATGTACTTATTGAGGTGTGTTACCCACTGCCAAGGCATCCTTAGTCTTAGTCTGCTCTAATATTTTAAAGTGAAATCAAAGATGCCCACATTTCCTCACAGCTCATATTCATAATCTTTTAAAAAAATCTTTATTCAAATTAATGTTTTAATGTCCTTTTGGTACTTAAATTCAAATTTCAAGATAATTATAAATTCAGATTTATTTAGCTGCCTCCTCTTTACTGGAAATTAATGAGCTTTCACTCCAGGCCTACTTAGCAAATTTATTATGCCTTAAATAAAATTTTTCTCTCGCCACAATAAACTGGAAATAAAAATTACTTTTGTTTCATTTTATGGAAACTAGACCCCCAAACAAGTGTTTTCCTCTTCAAAAGCAAATTCAATTTGCAGAAGGATAAACACACAGGGCTGATAAAAATATAAGGGATCTTCAATCCAATGAGGGTAGAAAGAGGAGAGGAGCTCAGCACCCTCTTCCTCCCACAACCCCTTTTTCTGATTTTTTTGTGTTTATAAAGCTGGGCAATGACTCAAGTAATACAGAATTTTAAATGGAAAAAGTGGAGAATCTGCAAGATGTTGATGAAGTTAATCTGAGATTTGTGTTCCTCCAACCAAACCACAGTCACATACCCTCCATCTCCTTCCAGCTCTCCTAAGACTAGATTTCAGGAATATTTTAAGAATCAAAATGTTCAGTTTTCAGATCTTACTGCTAAGTTAAATGACATGTTCACACTGAAATGATAAGTCAGATTTGTGTGGAAGAAGCAATGACCCCTTCTTATTCCCTGTTTGAAGACCAGCTTTGGGATAAATGCATTAAAATCACTTAAGATTTTTTTTCCTTCAGTTAAATTTATTTTAAAAAGATTTTAGGACTTCTAATTCTAAGACCTCTCCCACCCATATTCCCACACACATATGCATGTTTACCAAAGGGAAACAAACTTCCTGAACCTTTAACAAGATATCCTACATTCATGCCCATATACTCTGAAGTTCATTGTTTTGAAATATTTTTACCCTTTCCCACTATGCCAGGTATTCACTTTAAATAATTTTATCACCTATTTCATAAAAACAGCAAAATGCTATTAACTGGTATGAATTTCACTTGTCTCACTTCTGGGATATCAATTACAACACAAATAATATTTAAAAATAGTATGAGAGGCCTCCTTGGTGGTGCAAGGAGTTAAAGCACAGTGCTATCAAGCTGTCCACTGCCACTGTAGCATGAGTTCGATCCCTGGCCACGGAGGTGACCCACATGACACAGCAGACCTCTCCTATCTCCTCGCCAATCCCCTCAGCAGTGTATTTTAGTAGAGCTGCCTGTCCTGCTCCCCACTCTGTCTCCAGTAAAGCCTTTCACCCCCGCACATCTGGCCTATATCCCAGTTCTTATATGCATAAATAAATAAATCTTAAAAAAGAAAAATAAAAGAAACATTTTCTTATATATATATATATATATATGAATAATGGAGCAGATATTTTAGAGAAGTATAAAACTTTACTAATAGTGCCTAGTAAAGGGTAGAATTTGCATGAAGGGAGGTCAATCTTGGACTGTGATGTTCAGTGGATTTAAGTTACCAAAGTATCTCTAACTTAATCTGATTGAGTGAAGCGCACAACCTAAAAATACTATAGTAATTGGACAAATTACATGTTAAAATGATGCTGCTGTAACATTTTTAAGCAGCTTGGAAGATTTTAGGTTTATAATAATGAAAGAAAGCAGGGGTTTAATAATTTATCTGGACAATTTCTTTCCAAACCCACACCCTTACACTGAAATTTACAACTTTTGAAATTTTTAGAAGTGAGAAAAAACTTCCCAAAAATCTGACCATTTCATTCCTAAGAATATGTGTTTTCAATCTCCAGAATTGATTTTAAATGCTTTATCATTTTACTGCTGTTTGCTCAATAAAGACACATGCTTGCACAGAAGTAAAGGGACTGAATTAAAATAATTGATTTTAGTAATCCTTAAAGGCTTCTGATTTCAAATGATTTTTATATACATGTAAAAAGAATGATGCAGGAAAATATTCCAAGTAAAATGAACTAATTTATCTACTAGATAAGTTAATAACATCTATAAATAAGAGTTAAAAATAGTTTTAACTAAGTTTATTTTTATATTCATAAGAAACACATATCTGTAAAATAATTTATTTAAAAATAATTTTAAAAGATACATAAACTGGGTCCTGGGTTTTACCTTCTTCTTCAATTGGTAATATGCTGGTGCTTCTCCTCAAAGATAAAGAGTCTTCATCTTTTTCATGGTTTTCTTAAAGATAAGAATAGCTCATAGTTATATCTTTAATAGAATCAAGCACTTGAATTTTTCCAATCCCACTGAATTTATATGAACACTTTCCTGATAGTTTATATTTTGCAGGTAACTTTTCAATAAACATATGTATTAAGAAAAGTTTTATTAATGGGACAAAGTATAAATATTCCCTTTGATTTGCCTATGTCCTAGAACTGCAATAACTAGTACATGGCATAAATTACAGACTGATCAGTTTGAGAATAAAGCAGTATTTGTATGCCAACAGCCTTTCACCTATGCACTGTTATACCTGTGAGATACATGGGGATGTCAGTAACTTTGAAACATACTCATGTACAAACAGCTTATGAATAGCATTTCTAAATGCGGAATTTAAGTTGATTCCTTCAAGGAAAGATTGGATATTCAGAGATACCACAGGTTTCACATAAATAAACTGGTGTCCCCACTAGAAAGAGGAAACACTGCAGTGAAATACAAAAGTAGGCATGAGACAGACAGTAAATGACTGTGCATGTTTCCAACTGAGAAATGGTGATTGAGTAGGACAGGGAGAAATATGCTTTATTCAGATGTTTGTTTCCACAGTTAATGCACATATGGTTGATTCCAATTAATCTCAACTTCATTAAGTTTCTATTTTCTTGATCCATAATGAACAGTTAAGGGGTGAAATCATTCTTTAACAAAATTATCTGAGAAGCAGAAAAAAACCTTAAGGACATGAATGTCTAACTAACTAGATGAACCTGGCATTACCTGTACTTATGCTGACATCAACAGGAGATAAAACCATATCTTTTGTAATGTCCTCCCTTGAAGGGAGCTCAGCTTCTTGCTTCATTCCTCTTCTCATCAGTGTCAGGTGCACGGTTTGTCCTGTGTGTCTCAACACTTCTACTGCCTGCTGATTAGTAAAACCCTGAAGGTTTGTGCCATCCACCTGTGATTAAAACATGACATGTTTAAAAAAATGGATAACTATATTACCAATTCACCAAATACATGTTTATTGTTTGTAAGTATGAAAAGAATGAAGAATAAGTACTTCCCTGACAGGGAATGGGCAGTGATGGCAGGTACTAGGATTTTGGGATTAGCTTATTTTCACTAGAATCACTAAGGAGGGTTTTGTTTATGGGATACCATTTGTGGAAATTATGAGTCAACAGTCTAAAGTCCAGGCTTCTGTACCTTTTAAAATATTATTTTTATATATCTCAGGTGATACTGATATACAGACAAATGTACAGTACAAAGTTACAGAATTACACAGATAGCGTAATCCTCATTAAAAGAGGATCAACATATTACAAAGTCCTATTTATAATGGCTTTAAAATGGGAAAACAAAAAACTATATTCCTTTACATTTCTTTGTCTCGTGTAAGACTGTATGATTGCCCCCTTCTTCTCCTCAGAAATGACACTACAATTGAAAATGACATTGTGATCATTCCAAACTTCTATTATCATATCTCCCCAGCACTGCTACCATAGAGTAGCCTTCAATATTCCACATTCTCAATATAGTTTAGTAGAATGGCATGTATCAACTGCTCCTACTTTCCATCCCAAGAATCATGCATTACTCTTTTCTTCCAGTGCCAAGGAGCTCATTCTAATTCCCTCACCCGAGAGAAGCACTGCAAGGCAGAGTTCTGTCTGGCAGTCTAGTTCTTTGAAAAGCCCACTTCAGCAAATGCTACTTTCATTTGTTCATGTGGAAAATACCTATAACTGTTTTAGAGTGCACTTCCACAGTTAAGTTATGCTAATGTTCCTGACTATATTCAAAGCGTTATTTTACCCATTCTCCTATATAATACTTATCTGGATTTTAATTTTGCATTTCCTGTCATATTGTAGCTTATGACTACATGACCAAAAAGGATTGGACTCTGTCATTTTTATTTACAAACATGTCAAAAAACACAGGACCACCTGCTCAATTAGAAATGCATCCAAAATGGGAATACTGAGCCACTGACTAATATATTAAAGATTTATTTGTAAAGCAAGTAACTTTTGGTGGAGGGGGTAAATATATATAATTACAAGAGGTTTTTAATTCATAAAGTAAAAGTGAAAAGTTTGGAAAAATAGAACAAGTATTTGATGCAATTCATTTAAAATGTAATGAAATTCCAATAACTAGCATTCTTTTTGATTTGGGAAATGATGATAGCAATGGCTGTGTTCTGTTATTATAATTGTTATAATAGATTAGCTCACAAGATGAAATGCCCTTACTACAGATGGTTCTGGAAGAATGTAGAATTTCTAATTACACATTATATTTTTAATCTCATTTATTATATATACATATATCTGTTTTATATGTTAACAAAACAAAATACACAATATAATTTCTAATATGTAGAACAATTTAAATTGTATCTGAACATGTAAAAAGAAGAAAAAGAATGGAGAAAGGAATAATTTTTATTTTAATAATGGCTACCATTCAATCAAAAATTTATAGAGACTCTGATCTCAATGATGAGTTTATATTTTGCAAGTTCACTAAGTTTTATATATTAATTTAAGTCTTGTCCAATTATTTGTTAACAGTAACATGAAAATTTGAATAAGATGTCTGAACCTATCCTCTTTCCTCTTTCCTCACACTGTTGATTCTCTTTGACTGAACTAACAAAAATCTTGTAAGAGTGAAAAAACTGCAACAGATCTGGAAACTAAAGAATAAAAGTTCTTACACAAAGCAACTAGAAGAAAATTATAACCAGATTGCAGGCAGGTCAGCTGAATCTATTAAGTCATGTGGTTTGAGGAAGAAACAAATAAAAATCCAACAACAACCACTCATTTAAAGGACGCAGTTGAATAATGTAAATCCTAATCAGTGATTCCAAAAAATACAACATAAGCAGAGGTCACACCAAATTAGAAACATATAGTAGCAGAGAATTACTTATATGTATTACTACGAAAAACACCAACTCCTATCCTGCTACAAACACAGAAACTAATTTCTTAGTCCACACTCTAGAAGATGGTATGTGATCAAAATTGTTAGTGCAATGACTAGGAAAATAGATATTATTTTGGAAATTCCTTTCAAAAGGATTCAGATTTCTCTGTGTTTATAGAAGAAGAGATTATGTAATAATTAACAAAGAATCAAAATCTACCAAGGAGAAACAGAAAACTATTACAGTAAAGACAGTTAATTGGATTTTAAATACTGTAAAAACAGGGGATGGAAAATAAGATCATATAATTTTTCCCTGGTTCAGAGAAGAAAAATAAACAGACAAAATGTCAGAGAAATATCACTGAGAGCATACAGGCTGACCTAGGAAATCCAACATAGTTATGAAAACAACTATAAGGGAAAAGTAAAGAAGGAAAAAAAAATAATCAGAGAAATGATTAGGAAGTATGGCCATTTACCTCAGCCTACAGATCAGAAATGTACATGAAAAAAAGTGAAGAAGAAAAAAAAAACAGCACCTGGATATATACTGGTAAATTCTTTACAAATCAACAAGAACAAACTTCTACCAGTATCTAAGCAACAGAGTGAACAGGTTATCTAGAAAACGTGTGATAAAGAAATTATGAAACCAAGAGTTTTATATATAGTATAACGTGTGAAAATGAAAATTATGGTTGCAATGCTATGATTATTTATATCTATACATATCCAAAGAGAGTTGAGAAGGGGTACCATGCAGAAATTTAAGTTAAGTTTGTTTCTACAACTCATACACATTTAGGGCATAGAAAGCCTGGGTTATTTAAAGTAAAAAAAAAAAAAAAAAAAGAGCTCTTTTTGAAGATTTCTGTAAGTCCATACCCTCCCCACTCAGATATTTTCCTCCTGTTCTCTTATCAGAGGGTTGTGCCACTTGCAGTAGCTGAAGAGTCAGAGGACTGTGTCTGACTCCCTTAAGAGGGGGCAGGAGGGGCCATTTAGTTGCTTTGACTGTGGAGGGGAAAACTGCTGTCATGCTGGCAACTGCTCCACATACTGACCTTGGACAAAGAACAGAGAAAGGAAGTACATAAGAAAAACCTAGCCAAGGCACTTTGAAGCCTACCAAAGCATACCCCCAAGGAATGATAGGACCCAAAAGAGAGGATCTACAGACTGCAAAGAAACTAGAGGTCAAAGGTGACAGGGGGCTGCCATATGAGAATAACCACCATTTGTCAGGTAAAATAAACCATTAAGTCAAGTTGTCTCCACTGAGATATCCCAGAAATAAAGAAGGGACTCTCAGTGACAATTTTAAATATTCACCAGTCTCTCCCAGCACAAAGTTATCTTATAGTAAGGATGAAATGTCTCACTGTCTTTACCATCCTTTCTTCTCACCTTTCAAACTGTAGGCTCAAAGACCATAGTAAGAAAGTAGGAGAGAAGACAAGCTAGGTGGGCAAAGTCCTAACTCTAACCTTGAGTCAGTCATCGCTTCATAGAAGACTTCTGGTTGGCTGGGGTATAGTCTGAAATAGAATTATTACGTAGGGCCATCCCTGGTGGCTCAGTGGGTTAAAGCACAGCACTAAGAAGCTTAAGCCACTTCCACATGAGTTCGATCCCCGCCGGCCCGGGAGGTGACCACATGGCATGGCAGACCTCTCCTGACCCGCCCGCTGCTCCCCTCAGCAGTGTACTTTGAGCCTGTTCTGCTCCCCACTCTCTCTGGTGGCTCTCCCACCTTCCGCATCTCTGGCCTGTACCCCAGTTCTGTATGAATAAATAAATAAATCTTTAAAAAAATTATTATGTAGGATGCACACATTTTAATTATTAAATTAGATCAATATTTGATGATTCTGATTGACCAGGCCATTTTATTGTCTGAAAATACTTAGTCATGGGCTTGCCTAAGATTTTCTCTCTAGGGAAAAGGGAAGATTCTTTGCTATTAAAAAATAAAAAGGGGGCCCTCCCGGGTGGCACAGCGGGTTAAAGCACTGCACTAAGAAGCTTAAGCCACTTCCGCATCAATTCGATCCCTGCCTGTCCCGGAGGAGATCCACATGGCGAGGCAGATCTCTCCTGACCTGCCCACTGCTCCCCTCAGCAGTGTACTTCATGGATCTGCCTGTTCTGCTCCCCACTCTGTCCCTGGTGAATCCTCTCACCCTCCACATCTCTGGCCTGTACCCAGTTCTGCATGAATAAATAAATCAATCTTAAAAAAAAAAAAAAATAAAAGGTGCCCTCCCTGGTGGCTCAGTAGGTTAAAGCACAGCACGAAGAAGCTAAGGCCATTTCCGCAGGAGTTTGATCCCTGCCTGCCCCACCAGAGGTGATCTACATGACTCGGCAGACCTCTCCTAACCCCACCCACTGCTCCCCTCAGTAGTGTACTTCGTCAGTCTGCCTGTTCTGATCCCTACTCTGTCTCTGGTGAATCCTCTCACCACCCCTGCACCTCTGGCCTCCGGCCTGTGAGTTCTAAACTGACTTTGATTTATGTGAATTGCACGATATGCAAACTTTATCTCATGCTGATTTTTAGGAAAATTTTTGCTAGATTAAAATACATAGTTACATAGTGGGGGAGAAAATTCTCAATTTTCAAATTTTAATTCAGTGTCTGACAGGAATTTAGAATACATTGATTTACTCTGTTGCTCCCTTGCCTCCCGCCCCCACCCCCCAAAAAAAAACAAAAAAAATTAGCATCAAGTAGTTAATTTTCATTGTATGGTAGACATCCAGTGGGAAAAACAATGTCTAGCATGGAGTCAGAATAGGTGGCAAGGAAAACTTGATTTTTAAAATACATATCAAGAGAAAAACAGATGTAGTTAGTAATATTCAAGACCTAAGTCTAAGAATAGGGTGTGGGAACATCAGAGCAAATGGCAGAGATATTGGATACCTGTCTTTTATTAAACTGTGTTAGAAAACATCTAATATTTACCATCTTAATCATATTTTTCCATCTTAGTCTTAAGGGTTAGTAGTGTTAAGCATATTAACACCGTTGTGCAGCCAACCTCCAGAAGTTTTTCATCTCACAAAACTTAAACTCTATACCATTAAACAACAGCTTGACATTATCTTTCCACCAGCCTCTCCAAACAGTGATTTTACTGTCTTGTCTGTGACTTACACTACTTTAGATGCTTCATGTAAGTGGAACACACCGTGTTTTTCTTTTTGTGATTAGTTTATTGAACTTAACATCATGCCCATAATGCCCTTGCTGTAGGATGTGATAAGATTCCCCTTACTTGAAAAACTAAGTAATATTCCTTTGTATGTATCGACATTTGTTTATTCAGTCATCCATCCATGGCGACTTGGATCACCTGACTTCCTCACCTCAGCTATTACAAATAATGTTGTTATGAACAAGGGCTTCTCTACTCTAACTTTGTTAAGATCCCAAGGGAGCAATAGAGACTTAAACATACACAGGCATATCAGATAAATGAGCATTCCTTAAGATACCATCTAAGGAATATTAGTGTATATTTTGGGGAAAGAAAAAAATCCTATTACAAGCTATTACAGGACACTAATGTCAAAGAGTCTAACAATTTTTTTTTTTTTTATTGCAAGGCTTCTCAGTCCCTGATTTTTTAATGTCTTCTATGAACTAAGAGACCATACTGCTATCAGTCTTTTGTGAACTCACTTGTTCAAAAAGCCCTTGATTTAGGGTCACTTGAATTTGTGTCTGGAGTTGTTAGGAAGTCAAGTTTCCACTGGACACTAAACTAAAAAACTGAATTATCTTGTGCACTGCCTTGAAGAGACCTCTGCTCAAAACACAGTGATGCTGCCACAATAACAATGATGAACCTAACCTAACTAAAAGGGGGTATGTCTATTTCTTTTATTCTTATATATTCTTAGATCTAAGGGAGTCCAGATCATTGAGGCAACTATTACAGAATCATTCCACTGTTGTACTTAAAATGACATATCTTAAATTCAGACTCAAGAAAACAAATGGTTATAACAGCTATCTTTACCTTTAACATATCTGTAAACAATGTACTGGTATGGTAATAAAGACATTAAAACCAGAAATCAATAATTCAGAAATTATTCAAGAAAAAAGTCCCACCTTTAGAATGAAAAGGCTTTACTTCAACAAAATAATTTAATGGATTACTGTAGCCTCAAGTCACCAAAGCAAGCTTAAATTAGTACAAAGCTATACATAGTTCTCAAACTAAATGTTAACTAGAAGAACGTAATTCTCAACCATGAAAATTATCAAAGCTGTTATTAAGTGTGTTACTTACTGCTATAATTTGGTCTCCAATTTGGATTCTTCCATCATGTTCAACAGCACTGCTCTTTGTAATGCTCTTTACAAAGATTCCTGAAGGTTCTAAGATTAGAATAAGTTATTTCTTAATATTTAAGAAGCATTCTGAAATTATAGCTATCTCTCTTTTCCAAGTATAAAGTCCTAATTTTGAATAAATACAAATTAAAAGTCACACAAATAAAATCATTTCTAGTATACTAGAAAATAGGACAATGGTCTGCATTATCATAAATACAATTCCTGAATCACCTACATTAAATTATTCCTAAGGAAGTTTTCATCATTTATTCAATAATCTTAAGTACATAATGTTAGGTCAATATTTATAGGTCAAAGGTATTAAAGGTAATTCCAAGTTGAAAATATATTAATTAATATAATTAACTACCTAATTTTTTATCTCCAATGTAACCAGCAATAGTAATTCCTAATCCTTGGATATTTTTAGTGAGTTCAACATCAAATGTCTCACTTTCTTCACTTTTCTGAGTAGAAGCATCGACCTAAAATAAAATCAATCAATAAATATACAGATAAGTAAACATATAAACAAACAAGATAAACTCTAAAAGTCAAAATCTTTAGGAATGTGATATAATTAGGTTTCAGACAACTCTGCTAGAAAATTAGTAGCTGTTTCTTTAATGTTGTCAACACAAACTGATCATAACATTATCTATGCAAAAGGAAAGTCAGCAGTAAAGCTATCTCCCCCATCAGAAAAACATATTGCTTTTTAGGTAACCAAAACTTTAAACATCAGATAGTTTCTCAATAACAAGTTCTCTTCTCAGAAATGGCTCATCTTCATTTTTAAAGGATGTTAGAAATAGTACATTGGAAAGAATTCAGACGAACAAGTTCAAGTCTAGCTTTGTTAATTTTTCTAAACATCAGTGAGCTCTACTGTTTATGAGGAATAAGAAAAGCAACAAGTCTAGCTATCTATTATTGATCAGTTGCCATGTAAGAGGTACTTGACGTGTCTACTCACTTATTTCTCATAATATGCCTAAAGGTTGGTACAATTATTTTCATTTTTTTCTCTGGGGAAACTGAGGCATATAACCTTTTCCAAGAACAGGAAGCAATCATGTAGAGATAAAATTCGATGCAGATAATGTAGTCCCTATTCTTAATTACTACACAGTATGTAAAATCCCTCCTTGAATAAGGACCATAGTGTCTATTCAGGGCATACTGTTATTACTATCTTAAGCTCTTAAGCTAGTGCTGATTCTAATACCATGAATGAGTTAACCTATTTCCAGATAACATATTAATAGACCGTGATTATTTTGAAGTCAGTGAAATATACCATAGAGGTATTTAAAATTCTTCCTTAGTTTATAAAGTGCCAACAGAAAAGCAAGTAATAAAAGAGATATGCCTTCTATGTTGGTTTCATCATTCTTCAAATGATAGAGGAAAGTAAGTTTCTTCAACATGTAGAATTGTTATTAACTATATTTTTGACTGGAGGGGAAAACTCCCTGAATTAAGCATTACTATATTCAAGCAATAAGTCATCAATAAGTGATTGTCATTATATACTAGTATGGTGTCAGCCACTTCCACAGAGAATCCTAGGATGATTATAAAAAAAATAAAGGCTGTGGTTAGCTGGTAATGTTTTCTGATTTCCTTTAAGCAAATTCCAACTGCATTTCACCGACAGCCCACCTAAATGAAATGTAAAGTTTGATTTATTTTTTTCACTGCACATAATTATCTGTGCAAACTTAGCAAAAGTTTAAAGTTTAGATAATTACAAGAAAATGACAGGATGAAATCTGCTTCAATTGAAACAAATGTGTTTTCTATTTTTAATAAGACTTATGCGAGTGCTATTTTAGAGGGTGGCAATTTGACTATCGAATGGTTTTAAAAGGGGCACAGGCTTCAAAAATGATGATATGCACAGAATAGATATTTTTCTAAGCTTTCAATTACATCAAGTGGTTTTCGGTATTGCATTCATTTATATATTGCTGAATAAAATGTTTTGTTTACCACAAAGAATGCCACTTAAATACTTTCATAAACAAGCTTTCACTCTTTACTTCATTCTCTTTGCAAAAAATAGCAACCAATCTCAATCCTAAAAACAACAGAATCATGGAAATTTCAAGTGTTCTAATAAAGTTTTCAAGGGCTGTGAAGGAGTTAGGATAATTTAAAATTGTACAGCAATTAATAAAATAATCTTTAATTTAAAAAAAAATAGATGTTTTTTCATATAGAGATGTGCGTTGGCTATAAAGCTTATCTAGAAATTGAGTAGAATACTCTTCTCATACATTTAAGAGATTTGGAGATAAATTTATTTTGTTTATTTTTTTTTATTCTATAAACTCCTGTAACTGATACATCTGAAATAATCACTACATTCGAATATTTTTTCATTTTTCTAGTACTTTTTCATGTCAAGTTAACATAGATGGAATGTTTATAAAAAGCTTTTGTTACAATTACAAAAGATCATTTTTTTCCTTTCAAAAATAATGTAACTAGATAAGAATAATGATTTCTCACTAAGAATCTGGAAAATACTTATGACATTATCTTAAAACAATAATATTGGGCCCTCCCTGGTGGCGCAGCAGGTTAAAGCTCAGCACTAAGAAGCTAAAGCTACTACCGCTTGAGTTCCATCCCCGCCTGCCCCGGAAGAGATCCACATGGCGAGGCAGACCTCTCCTGACCCATCCTCTGCTCCCCTCAGCAGTGTACTTAGTCGCTCTGTCTGTTCTGCTTCCCTCTCTTTCTCTGGTGAATCCTCTCACCCTCCACATCTCTGGCCTGTACCCCAGTTCCATATGATTTTTTTTTAAAAAAAGCAATAATATTGGAAAGCTTTAGAGCTTTAGTAAGCTTTTCTCACCCCAACTAAGCCTGCCTCCATTCTCACTTCCCAAAAAGACTAAAAAGAAAGTTGTCAAAAGGGAATAATTGGAACTTTTTCCTACTTTACAGAGAAAATTCTAATTAAGAAAAAATAAACATTTCAGGTAATAAGCTATAAGTAACTTTTAAAATGTTACCCATACTATAAAACATTACCTTCATAAACATATTTCTTAAAGAAAAACGTACAACAGAAACCTAGAATTCTAATGTATCCATGGATACATTATTCCTAATTCATAAGATCTTAGGTCTGAGATAATTCTGAGTTCTGTTTACTCAGTAGCACTAATATATAAACATTAATTTAGTAAGTCTGCTTCCTACATAAAGATCATTGTCATTTAAAAGGTACTGTGTAATTCTTCCATTATCTGTATTTACATACCCGCATCTCTGGAGTAGATGATGGGGATGAGGAAAGGGCAATGCCCAGAGAGGTGGATGTGGTTGGTTCTTCTATAGCACCTCTTGCAATCATCAATTTAATTCTATTTCCACATTGTCTGAGTACTTGTGCTACTTGTTCACTGCTCATTCCTGTTAGATCTGTGTCACCAATCTTTAAAATGTGGTCTCCACTACACAATCGTCCATGCTGAAAAAAAACATTTTGATTAATCAAGCTATTATTACTTTAACTTCATCAGAAGAAATCCTAAATGAGGGAAAGGGAATAATAATACAGAATTTTGCTGATATAAATTACCAATCATGGGTCAACAGACATGGGTTTGCAACTTTAACTGTCTCTTCAAACACCCTATCATCTAATTCAGTGTGATGTTTGTTAATGAAATTCACAAATTTTCAGTAAAATCACTAGTCTACATGAGTTTTTCGATTTGATTTTAACCCAGCACATTTAAGAAAATACTAAACCTTCTGTAATTTTTTTTATGGCTAGAATAAAAAAGATAATCCCATTAAGCAGATAAAGTATTAACAGCAAAGTAAATACATGTTACTCAAAACATAATGTGAACCACAAGATAGAACCAGAATGCTACCACAATTTTATGTCTTGCCATTTAAATCATAAATGCCTCTAAATAACTTATTTGCAGATAAAATGCTTCCAAGATGAAAATTCAGATAAATGAGTGAGTGTATTTATAAAGGGAAAATTATTTTGATAAGCCTCCAAAGGACTACTGTCCACTATAAGTTTCTGCAGTGATAGAAATATTCTGCATTGTCCAACATGGAAGCTCTAGTGACATATGGCTATAAAGCACCTGAAATTCCAATTAAAGATCTGGATTTGTAACTTTAATTCCAATTAATTTGAATAAGTAATTTCAATTAATTACATTGGATATAGAATGGCATGTAGCAAGTAGTTACCATATGGGACAATGCAGTTTTCTGATAAAGCTAATTTATCTAGTTTTTTTTATCACATTTACCTAGGGAAATTCATTAGAGCTTCATGCTTGAAGCTGGTTTATGTTTTACCAGAAGAAAATTTGCATGTTGTTGTGTTGCTGTCAAAAGCTCTACTGATAAGGTTACCAGTAAGCAGGCATTTTCTTTTATGAATATGAAAGAAGTTGATGAACATGCCTTCCTAGTTAAATTCAAACACACAGGAAACAACAGCTTTATAAACAAAATGTTACAATCACGTTACTTAATAACAGAACTTAAAATATAAATAATAACCAGAAAGGTTTTGAAAACTTTTCTCACATATATTCCAACCTCACATATAATAAGAAACAAGTCTTTAATAAACTATGTAAGTGATAAAAAAAAATGCTGTACTTCATATACAAAGATAACACCACTGAACTCATTAAAGGGACACATTGAATCTTGTTTTTTTTGTTTTTCTCCTTAGTAATGAAGGGTTCTTTCTTACATAATAACTGGTTCTGTAAAATAGCTGATTAGGTTTCTTAATCGATTTATGATAAAATAAAGGTTTGCTGCTTTTACAATGATCAAAATCAGAATTCTAGAGTCTTAAAATTACCATCTATTCATCTTAACTCTGCTCCATTTCAAAGAGAAAGTCTAAGAAAACACTTTGGAGATAGTTCAACAAAATAGGATTCTAACTCTAGTTCCTTGACATTATTTATTTAAAACCACATTTTCTTCTAACAAAATATAAAATGTAAAGTCATATTATTTAATAAAACAGCACAAAATACTTGCTGGAATAGCTTACCTGATCAGCTACTCCGCCAGGCAGGATAGTTTTTACAATCACACCAGTTGATTTTCCTCCTACAATCCCAAATCCCAGACCAGATCCATCATTCACCAACTCAATAGTTTCCACATGTTGCCAGTGAACCTGAAAACAAAATTCCTATATGAATTTGTAAAAACTTAGAAAAGTATTTTTTGTAATTCATCTAACTATTCAGAAATGATAATGAACCTTTTAAAATGTCCCTTTTATTTCATATACTTCCTTTCCAATAGATAGTTACCACTCTTGATTTATCAGCACATCATTATGGTGACTGCACTTAGCCAGTTAAACATAGGCAGTGATTTGTAAGAACCTCTGTAGAACTTCTAAAAACAAAAATACGAAAACATGGGGGGAAAGTAAGTAGATCTCAAAAGTCTAGTAAAAAAGATTGCTATGGAAGTCTTCTGCATAACCCTGCCATGGAGGACTGTAAATTAGGTAACCTCTTAAAGTTTAAATAGTCAGCTGAAGAACAATCTAACAGTGTAATTACAAAACAAAATCAAGATGTTATATCCACAAATAAGTCAATTTAATTAAGATACTAAATTTTTTTCTGAAGAATGTTGTCAAGAAAAACTACAAAACAAGAAAGGCAAAACTTGTTTTAGAAGCCAGTGATCTAATCATTAAATTGTAATAAAAACCCACAGTTTAAAAAAAAAAAGACATAAACAGTAGAAAACTCAAAAGTACAAAGAACTTAAACTTGAGCCTTACAGATAATAATAATAATAATAATAAAACTTGAGACTTACAGATAATAATAGTAATAAAAACCAGCAAATATGTCCTGCTGCTTTTGAAAGTTTTACATATATACATACTCACCGGATTAGAGTGAGCTGACACTGTACTGGCTGCAGATGGAGAACGGGAAATGATGGGACTAATGATCTGAGGCAATGAGCCTCTTGCAATAACTAGCTGGACGTTATCTTTGGCTTTCTGCAGGATGCTGATAGCCTGCTGATGTGTGATTGTCTGATCAAGTGCCTGGCCATTGATTGCAAGGATTTGATCAGTTTCCTTCAATCTTCCATCTCTATCAAGAATGAAGAAAAAGGTAAAAAAAAAAAAATGACACCAGACTGCTTTCAAGAAAAGCTTCTCTAGCTTATATTTTTAGGCTATTTTTCCTTCTATTTTTTAAATTTCCAAATGTCTTAAGTTTTGTCTTTTAGTCTACTTTAAGATCATTTTTCTAATTTTAATCCTATTTTTTAAATTTTTTTCTTCCTAAAAGTTCTACTTTTTAAATAGTTGGCTTGATCAATTCCTAATCATCCTCTCCCAGCTGAAAGCTTGCTCTGCTCCAACTGGTTACATAATCTATTCATTTTATTTGGATGTTCATATTTCCTACAAATGAAGGCAAAGATGTATGTATTTATTTTGAGCATATTAGTAAACATATTTCAAATCATCATGGATCATCTGTATACCTTCCTTACAGTAACTACAAATGTAATCAGAATAAGCGTATTAACAATGAAAATATAATACCCCACACAGTTTTCTTTCCTCACTAAAAGATAATTAAGATTACATTTAAAAGCTAACTTTTTTTTTTTGACATTTCACTTTTTCCTTCTTTTATTTTCTTATTTCCTCCACCTAACCAACTGTGCACTGCTGTACCCCATCTGCCCCTTTCCCCTATTCCCTCTGGTAATCATTTTCTGTAGCTCTGAAAAAAAAAAAAATCACTCTTTTCTGAAAGGACCTGTTTTTTATCATAAAAATGTTACTGACATCTTTAAAAAGTTACGATTAATAGATTACATTTGTTTTTGTTTGTTTTACTCATTTTTGTTTCTCTATATTTTCCCAAGGTAATTAATAATTTCTGAACATGGCATAAAAAGAGGCAATTTCCTGGAAGTCTCACCTGTGAGCCACACTGCCCTCTTGGATCTCTTGCACAAATATTCCCAATTCTCCCCGGTTTTCACTTCTTAGTCCCACAACACTAAAACCGAGGCCCCCACAAGGAGGTTTGAGAAGTTCAAAAATTTCTACATGGCGACCCTGTTTAGGAAACAAAGCAAGATATAAAATTAAAACTCACTGGAGCAGCAATCATCTTATTAGTGGTTATCACTTAAAAAAAAAAAAAAACATGATTTTTTTTTCTAAATAAATGTTATCACTTATAACACAGAATGAAATATAATGGAATATCTTACTTTATATTGAAGAATATTTTGGAACAAGACATGTAATACATAGTTGAAAATATGATGATAAAAAACATGAAAAATGGAATAGGAAAACCTCTACAGCACCCAAACTTACAGAAAATCTACTACTTATTTATATCAATTTTTTAGATGTTAATAATGTCACTATATTCTCAAATTATCCACTTGATTATACTGTCAAGATATTAACACATTCTATCATAACTAAGATGAAGAAATGTTCTTACCTGGGCCATGTTTTTTATCAGTTGATCAAATTCATCACAAGCAGGTTTCCCACTGATGTACGGAGAACCAGATCTTGTTGGTGCTTCCAGATTTCCATTATTTAGGGAAGATAAAAAGGTTTCATTTTGCAGAGCAGGAATTACAGCTGGGCCAATAGGGGGGACGTGGGCATAGTCAATATTTGAAATTGCAGAACCTGTAATGCTTGCCTAAAGCAATTTGGAAATTATTAGCAATTTTAACATTTCAAAAATTATTTCATTAAAAAATCTATAAAAGAGGTAATATTGCAGCATCTGTAAAATTTTAAACTGCCCACATTCTTTGATCAAAGCATTCTATTTCAGTAAATTTATTTCTAGGAGAGAAATTAAAATAAAAGATAAAGATGCTTATACAAGTATGATCAATGCATCATAATTTAGTATACAGGAAAATTTTATTAACTCATAATATCCAGTGTTCAACTTCAAGGTATCCATTAAAACATATATATCCATGCACACGCTTAAGTGAAAATTTATAGTTATGGGTGCCTCCTTAATAGCGCAAGGGGTTAAGTTTCAGCACTATGAATCTTTTGGTAGCCACTGTAGCACAAATTTAATCCCCAGCCAAGGAGATAAACAACAGACTCAGTAGACTTCTGCTGTCTCACCTGCTGCTCACATCAGCAGTATATTTCATTCAACCTACCTGTTCTGTTCCTCATTCTGTCTCTGGTGAATCCTGTCACAGCCCCCCATATATCTGTTCTAAACCCCAGCTCTTGTATGCACAAATAAATTAAAAGAAAAAAAAAATTAAAGTTAGTCATGAGGGCCCTCCCTGGTGGCGCAGCTGGTTAAAGCACCACACTGAGAAACTAAAGCCACTTGGGCATGAGTTCAACCCCTGCCCCTGATGTGATCCACATGGCATGGCAGACCTTTCCTGACCTGCCCGCTACTCTCCTCAACAGTGTACTTCATCAATCATCCTGTTCTCCCTACTCGGTCTCTCTCTGGTGAATCCTCTCACTGCCCCTGCACCTCTGGCCTGTACCCTAGCTTTGTGTGCATAAATAAATAAATCTTTTTAAAAGACAAAGTCAGTCATGAAATGTTGTATACAATATGACCTAATGTACATTTAAAAATTTATATATGCACTAAACATCGGAATGAATATGCATGAGAGAAATAACCAATATTAGCAATACCTGAGAGATGGGATGTCAGAGGATCATCTGCTTTCTATATCACTTGAAATTTCATAACACTACTTAGTTAAATAACTTGGTTTTCCCAAATATAGGACTGACTTTGGTCCCGAGCTCCTAGGCAGTAAGCTTTAAATCACTGGAGATTTCTAAATGACCAGAGTGCCTTTGATATTCATAGTGGGTCCCAGGGTTATATGACATCTGTTTAAAGTGTGAAGCTATATTATATCATGTGGGGAATGACTCCTCCAGATTTTCTTTTCTGTAGCTGATGTTTGACCTGTATCTATTCCCTACCATAGACCACAATAACAAGAACAAAGGGTTTCAACAATTTCTATAGGTCCTTCTAGAGAATTATTGAACTCAAATATGATTCTAGGAACCTCTTAAGTTTTTTGATGTTACCACAAGTGAGGATGGTTTTGTGATTTCTTCTACTTCACACTTGGAAATTGAGTGCCTAACATTGATTTTTCAAATCTTGGCTCAGCTGGCAGTTTGGAGAAATAAGCCTTCAAACTGTGCAGTTTGGCTCACTCCAGCTAGAATGACGTATGTAACAACAACAAAATGCAGGTAATTCCATTTTGTAAAAATATTCTACAGTTACTTGTGTGTAGAATAGTCTGTGTAGAGCTTGTGTGTGGAACTCCAAGTCAAATCTAAATACCTGATGAACTAGTATAACAGTTAATCTTAATTTCATATTTCTGTAGTATCTGGAATGTAGTTTTTTATCTATAATCATTTATCAGACATGTCACATCGCTAATCTTGTTAGATTACTCTCTGAACTCAACTCCTACATTCTGCCCATCCCCAGAGCTCCTGGTGTACTGACCACTTCATTACTAAAACTGCCAGTTATTCTCTGTACCAGCAAGATACATCCTTTCCCCCAGTATCTACATGTTTATGTCTTTAATTAATTCAAATGTGCTCAATTATACCTTGCCTTCTCAAACAATCCTATGATACTATACCCCATCATTATTCTCTGTGAGCTGAACCTGCACTGTTTTTTTGTTTGCTTGTCTTGTTTTTTAAAGATCTATTTATTTATTTATACATATAGACACAGGGCAAAGGCAGATGTACAGAGCAGCAAGAGGATTCACCAGAAACAGAGCGGGGAACAGAACAGGCAGAAGGACTAAGGTACACTGCTGAGGGGAGCAGTGGGCCAAACAGGAGAGGTCTGCTGTGCCATGTGGATCTCCTCCCCAGCTGGAATCAAACTTGCACTGAAGCAGCCACCCTTGACTTAGCTTTAGCTTAGCAGTACAGCATTCCAAACACCAACACCACCAAGGAGGGCCGTGAATTGTTTTTCTTCATGGTACATATTACCCCTGACATCCACCCTGTTACCCTGTCCATCCCATCCTAGAATTCTAGAATTTTCCAGCAAAGGAATTTTTTTTATTATTATCTACTATATCCCCATTCGCTAGAAGTGTGTTTTGAACACAACTGGTGTTCAAATATTTTCGTAGAATAAATGGAATACAGAGAAACCAAAGAAAAGGTCAAGAAAAAGTGAAAACTAGCAAACTGACCACAGTACGTAGGCATACAGCAAAAGAAGAAAGTGGGAGAGGAGGGGCAAGTTAGGACAGAGATGAATAAAAAGGGATACAGTGATGGTTTCTGAGTGATATGGTGGCATGAAAACAATGGGGACTATGGTGACACAGGAAAAAAAATGATTAATAAACAAATTATCTAGACTCAAAATATGAAAAAAAATGTTGATTCATTTTCTAATGCATACTCTGATTTAATGCCCCCAACAACCCTCAAAGTATTATTCATTTTATAGATGATAAAATTACACAAATCTTATAGCCAACAGACAGTATGATCTACATTTTTTTTCCTGGCATCCCTGTCACCTTTGTATTATACATTGTCTACAGCCATTTAAGGTATCATTTCTGGAAAAAGGACATTAATAAGGAATTTCATTGACAGAAGCAATTAAAATAGCCATAGTATATCATCTCTTTGTGTCCAAGTGTTTGTTATTTGTCCCTAGAAATAACAAGAACCTAATAAATTACAAAAAATACAACTTTGATATTGGCTATACATAATCACAGAAAAAGATCAATGTAGTTAGAAACGGCTTTTGGGGAATTCTTTTAAATGCTTAATTTAAGACTTGAGGAGGCATGATCAATTATTATTTTTTTTCAAAAACAAGCTTCTTATAATAAACTTGATCTTTTTTTATCCTGAGCCAATGCAACTTCAATAAAGCCTGCCAGCAGACACACGGCTCAGGTTGAAACAGATGGCATAATAAAACTTGTGACAGGCTGAAGATCCCACACACCAGGACATAATGCCTATGGTATATTTACATAGGAAAAAATATTTGGACTTCTGCTATGGTAAGCCAGAATGAGCAAATCACATTCCAAGAATAGAGAATCTATCCATATGAAGTTAACCAGAAAAGTACGACATTCTGATATTATGGACGACTGGGTGTGAAGCCTCTGTAAGAGGAAACTTACAGGACCAGAACACAGAATTATGAGACTTCTATAAACATACTGGATACCAGTTGTCTTCTAATTTGTTAAAGTTGTAATGCCTGCTGTTTCCTCTCTTGAGGTCTACATGAACAAAAGTTAGACTATATATTTTAAGACTGCAATTTACTTAAATCATCATACAAAGCCTTGTTTTTAAATTTACAAATTATGCTCATAGGTGAAGCACAAAGGCACCTTTTGATTTTGCTGTAACTGTTTATTAAAATGGTTTCTAAATTGTAATCTCCTAAAAGAACAGGAATGAATTTTATTTTACCCTGATAGGTTTGTTCATAAAAGACACACTATAAATGTTAAAAAATAAATAAATAAATAAAAAACTAGACGCCCATCTTGGTTTATAGATTATAAAATAAACAGAAGAAAACACAAATATCTGGTGGTTTTTACATAAAGATAAACAATCTGTATAATTTTTATAGAAGTTGCTAGCAAATGAGCAAGAGTCACTAAATAACTATCTGCTCTCTCTATAAGTTCCGCTGAGTATTTCAGTACCAAATAAAAAAACCTCTTTTATGTTCTTAGTAAATAAACATATAGTAACTTAATTTATGGATTGTAATTAGTGCTAATACCAAACACATAATTTAAATGAAGATTATGTAACTATTTAGTTAAGAAAGGGGTCAACTGCTTTGTGAATGGGCAGGATGAAACACTCTCAGTACTTAAAAATATTATGGAGCTCTTGTGTTCTTTTTCTTTTTTTCAACATGGTACATGGTTTACAACACATGTTTAAGGTATATGTTAGTCATGACACCCACCACCAAAGCACCCACGTCCTCTACCATAGTCCATGGGCCCCATTACACCCTGCTCTCTCCCCAACCTTATGGTAACCTAAATTCTACAGTCATACTCTTAGGGTTTTGAATGGTTTGGTTTTTGCTGACATACCCTTTGTTTTCCAGTATTCCACATATAAGTGAATCCATCCTGTATATGCTCTTTCTTCTTCTGGCTTATTTTATATAATCGCCTCCAGTTCCATTCATATTGTCACAAATGGCAAGAATTATTTTTCTTTCATAATTGACTAGCATTACATAATGTATACACACACCAATCTTTTTAAACTACTCACTGTCTTTAGGTTGTCATAACTTGACTACTGTATATAGTGCTGCAATGAAGACAGAAGATTCCTCAGAATTTGTGTTTTTGCAACGAGGAGAGGGTAAGTGCATTGGACTGTGGTGATGGCACACAGGTGATTTGGTGATGGGAAGCCCACAGGGATTACAACTGATACGGAAAAATGCACAAAATGATGTAAAAATAAACTACTATATTATTTTAAAAAATTGTGTTTTTGCACCTTTTGGATCAATAACTAGAAGTGGAACTGCTGGATCATATGGCAGGTCTATCTTTAGCATTCGGATAAATCACCATAATATAGTGCTTTAAATATATGTAAATAAAAGTACAT